TTTTAAGTGCTTATAAGTTGTGAATCTCGATCAAAGTATAGTTAAAAGTAGGTAAACATTGTTATAGCTAAAAGTATAAGTCAAAAAGTAAGGAAACGTTGATATAGCTACGAAATACGTGGATGAAAATACAATTTTACGAATTTATAAGCACTTATAAGCTATGCCAAATATGAATGGACTTATATGTAGAGTTATTAAATAGGAGTGCAAGATAGCTTGCTCAACAACAGTGACGATCGACTTGAGAGACACAAGTGTTTTTTTTTTAAAAAAAAATTGCACATTTCTCTGAATTTAGTTAGCCAGGTCAACAAGCAGCTCGCATAGTCAAATTGCTGCTCAGCTTGCATCGGGTGCGACCTGACAAGCAACTCACCTACTTTCCCTAGTCATACGGTATACATTATTGTTGATCATGTATGACCATGGCTATAAGATCGGAATAGTTCTCTTTACTTTTTTAGAATAATACCTATGGATCACAAGGTCCACTTATCAAGCTAATGGTCAAGCAATTCAATATCATTGTTATTAAAGTTGAACATTCTTTTTGCACCATTACATATATGAAAATAATAGCTCAAATCGAATTCAATTGTCAACCACATAGATTGGATACAGGTTTGATTAGTGATTTCGATTTATTCAACTAGAGAATTATTAGTTCAACCGACGGATCGATATGGAATCAAATGTAAGTATAATAAACAGAATTAATGGAAGGTAAGAAGGTCATGAGATCAAATTCAATAAGTAAAAACATGGATGCATAAATTAAAATTAATGACTACGATCATCTATCCATCTCTATGAACGGTAAAGCTGTTAGTTGTTTAATGAATAGACAGATTCACAAGTTTATAGGAATTTATTAAATCTTTCAATTAACTTTTCTTAACTTCCAGTCATGTCCTCGTACTTCTCGACACTGCACAATTTCAAAATTAATTTCAAAATTGCTTCTCTTTGCTTGATTCATCTCCAAATTGGAAAATTTACCTAATAAAGCAAAATGTAAAATAAAATGAGTAAAATTCTATCCAATTAATCAATGATAGGCAAACAGGGTCTAATAAAGCAAAATGTACAATAAAATGAGTAAAATGTGTTGGTGATAAATCACTACAAGTATCACGTGCGGAAAGTGTTCAAGGAGAAGTTCTATAGGAGGGTTACTGCCTATGTGTCGGATTGGCAACACAAGCGAAATGTCGGTTCCAAGGATCAAGACTCGAGTTTAGAAATGAAAACTGTCAAACCACCAGATTTCAATTCCAATTTTTAGATGACCAAGCATATGTTAGGAATCGTAAAATTTTTAATGAACGACAATAGTCAAAATATAAGTGCCAACAAATATTATAAATTAGAGATGGATAGGTATTTAAAGGGCAAGAAATTCGTTTTGAATGAATGCATTTTGGGTATCAGAAGATCAATTATTCAAGCAAAAACATTTTAATGGCAGGAGATTAAAGGTGCACACTATGTTAGCTGCACTCAAAGCATAGAACCAAACTTCCCTCACTAGCCGTTACTATTGCAAAATATAGACGTCATTCAAAAATCTGACCGTTATTCGCTCCCTAACCAAACCCACCTCCTCCCCTTCCTCCCAAACGCTTCTCTGAATCAACCAAGAAATTTTTTGACATTACGAACCCTAAAAGAGAATTAAAAATGGTGACTGAAAATGAGCCAATCACGAGCCCCCAAAACCCGAAAGACCCACCAAGAAAACAATCACACACTGCTGAAAATGCCGGGAAAGACGAAACTTTGTTTAGCCCAAGGTTCAGATCAGTGGC